AGATATTCGCCTACAGAAAGAGAATTATTAGCTTTAATTTATGCTGTAAAACATTTTCGACCTTATGTTTATGGACGTAAATTTACATTAGTAATGGATCATAAACCATTAGAATGGTTAAATTCAGTATCTGATCCTACGTCACGATTAATGAGGTGGAGACTAAAATTAGCGGAATACGATTATCAAATAAAATACAAACCAGGAAAAATAAATAAAAATGCTGACGCTTTGTCCAGGAATCCTATCGAAGAAATTAAACATGTATATCCTTTGAATGCAAAACGAGCATTATCATCTTCAAGTGAAGCCTCAGTAGGGCAAGAACATAAAAAACAAAAAACATTTCACCCGAGTTTTAAAAGAGCAATGGAAAGTGAAGGATCAGGAAATCCAGCACCGCATAAAAAGAACAGACCTGATGAACCATCTCCTTATATAGATTCAGATAGTGAAGAAGAAATATCACCTAGAAGTAAATTTTTAAAAGCTTTAGACAGTAGCAGTGACAGTGGAACAGTTTCATATTATTATGAAACCGACTATGATACCGACGATCCAGAAATATGTCAAAAAGGTGAAAAAAGGAAACATGAGAGTAGCTCTTCTACCCACATAAGACGCAGAAAGCGAAAGCATAAGAGAACAAAGAAACACCGTAAAGATTCCAGTCCAAAGAAACTTGACGAATCCCATGATGACAGTAAAGACGCAATGTTGCATGTGGATGAAGCTGAAGGGCGCGGCCCGCAAGAGCGTCTTAGCGATGACGACGCCGCCTATGAGCCGCTGCAGGAAGCAACCGCTCCCGACGACGCACGCGCTTCACGCAAGAGACCGAGCGGAAGCCACACAACGGGTGTCCCGAAAAAACGAATCGATGATAAAAAATTTTATAATGAAAAAGAAATGCATAAACAACAAGAGGAATCTGAAGATGAGGCTATGGAAATAACATCACAATCTAGCGACAGCCATCAAAAACACACTAATATTGAAGTACAGGCTGACGTTCATGCACCACCTTCGCATATACAAATAATACCAAAATCAAAAGTAAAAATTGATAAAAATTTACCAAAATTGCCAGATGACATTGACGCTATTGAAATAATAGAAGAAAATATACCATTAAATAAACAAGAATTAAAAACAATGGAAGTAGATACTGATAATGAAATGGATTATGAAATAAATAAAAAACCATTAGGATACCGTGAACAAAAAACGCCGAGCGATGATTCGACAGACGAAAGTAATATGAATAGAATATTTTCACCTCCTTCATATAATGCAGTTCCTAAACCTTTACAAATAAGCAATAAAAAATCTACGGAAACAAAAGCCACTACTCCTAATAAAAAACCAGTAAATAAAAGATTTCCAAATAAAAAATTAAGCAAGAAAACAAATAAAAAAAACTAACTTGAAAGAACGAACACCACCGAAAGAATTACAGAGACCAAGAATAAGAGAAATGGAAGTTACTTCTGTCAACATTATAGACTCCCGAGATCACATATGGATGAG